GCGCAAATCTTAGTGTCCAACGACAGGGAACCCTTGATCTAAGTCCTCAATACCGGGTTGCAGACTTCCGATGTTCCGCAGGGCACAGTGCTTGCCCATGCGATACCCGCACTTCGCGGGGATTGTGTTGTGGGAAATCTTGGGGCTGAGCCACACCCGCCGCCGCGGATAGGTTCGGATGAGCAGTGGATACGTTCTCTTTGTTCGGAAGGTGCAGACTTGTCCGAGTCCCAAAGGGGTAAGTTGAGGACACTCTTACGGGAATTCGCTGACGTTTTTAGTACGAGTAAATTCGACATTAGCCGTACTACACTTTTAAGCCATCACATCGACACGAGCGATGCCGCTCCCATCTGGCAGAACCCTTACCAGCTGAGCCCTGCAGAGGAGCATGTCCGGCTGGCAGTTGATGAAATGCTAGCCGCGGACATCATTTCGCCATCCACCAGCCCGTGGAGGACCCCTATCGTTCTCGTGAAAAAACATAGTGGTAGCTTGCACTTCTGTGTTGATTTCCACAAGCTCAACAAGATATTGGTGGCGGATGCTTACCCTCTCCCTCGGATGGACGACTCCCTGGACGCCCTAGCGGGCGCTCATTACTTTTCTACCCTTGATCTTCTGTCCAGATTTTGGCAATTGCCGCTAGATGAGGCAACTAGGCCCAAAACGGCCTTCCGTACGCCACAGGGCCTTTTCGAATTTAATCGGCTTCCGATGGGACTCCACTCCGTGCCGGCTACGTTCCAACGTTTGATGGAGCTTGTGCTAGCTAGTCTTCAGTAGGACTGATGTTTGATATATCTTGATGATGTTATCGTCTTCAGCCGTACGTTCGAGGAACATATCGATCGGTTGCGGGCTGTTTGTATCAAAATGCGGGTGGCAAATCTCAAATACAAGCCCCAAAAGTGTCACCTCCTGCAGAAATCCAAGCGGTATCTCGAGTATATTGTCAGAAAGTCAGGCATTGCTACTGATCCCGAAAATACAGCGTGCGTTCGGACTTGGCCGACCCCCACGTCGGTGGGGGAGGTGCGAAGTTTTGTCGGTTTTGCATCTTACTATCGTTGCTTTGTAGCTAGGGTTCGCTACCATCGCAAAACCCCTCCAGGCTCTGACGGCCATGGGTCAGAAATTTCATTGGGGGGAGGAGGAGGCCGCAATTGCCGCACTTCGTGAGGCTTTGGTCAACGCCCCTCCCCTCCGCTACCCCGACTTTGCTGCGCCGTTCATCCTTGATATGGACGCTAGCAACACTGGCATCAGCGCGGTTCTGTCCCAGGTCGTCAATGGGGTGGAGTGCGTTGTTACGTACGGCAACAGGGTGCTGTCTCCGGCTGAACAACGTAACTGTGTCATGCACCGAGAGCTCCTGGCAATCGTTTTTTTTGTCCAACAATACCGCCCGTATTTGTATGGCAGACACTTTACAGTGTGCTCTGACCACGCTACACTGCAGTATGCGTTGCCGGTTGAACAGCCATCCGGCCAACTTTCACGTTGACTCGAGGTCTTCCAGGACTATTCTTTTATTGTGTCCTACTGCAAGGGTACCCAGCACTCGAACGCTGATGCCTTGTCATGGTTACCACCGAGCGACAAGTGTGCGTGCTTTTTGGGCGCAGGGCGCTGTAAACCGCCGACCGACGACTAGCCTCCGCCCCTTGCAGCGTCGGCTGAGGTGGCTTCCCCCGAGGTGGAAGATGGTCCCGTGGCACGTGACGCCGTCCTTGGCCTTGACCTCGCTGAGTGGGGGTGCCTTCAGATGGAGGACGCCTGCCTGGTCACATTGCGCCGCCGCGTTGTGCACTCGGATAAGGATAAGGGCTGTAGGGACTTGGCCTCGGTCGTCCTGAGGGATGGCCTGCTGATGCGCTGGGATGGCAGCGTGCGCCATTACAGTATTGTTGTGCCTACCGCCCTGCAAAGTAGTGTTGTATGGGCTGTTCACGAACGACTTTTGCACTTGGGCGTGCACAAAACCCTTGCCACGCTCCAGCCGAGCATGGCAAAGGATGTGACTGATTTGCTTAAGGGATGTGTGCAGTGTGCGAGGCGGAAACACCCGGCTAGGCCCTGTTGTCCGCCCTTGCAATCGATTCGGGTCTCCCACATTAATGAATTAGTCACTCTGGACATCCTTGGTCGCTTTCCCGCTACCCCTCGGGGTAATACATACTTGCTGGTGGGTGTTGAATATTTCTCGCGCTGGCCTATAGCCTGGCCACTCCCCAAACAGTCGGCGGCTGCCATTACCGACGCTTATCTTGATGGCTATGTCATGGACAAGGGTACTCCTGAACATCTATTGACCGATCAGGGAAAGAACTTCTCGTCCAAATTACTGCGGGAGGTGTGCAACCTATTGGGCACAAAGAAAATTCCTACATCACCATACCACGCCTGAACGGATGGAATGGTGGAGCACCTGCACAAGACACTGACTTCTATGCTGAACCATTAAGTCAGCGAGTCCCAGCTTTATTGGGACTTGCGGGTCCCCGGAGTTCTGGCCGCATACCGTATGGCTCCTCATGCATCCACCGCTATTCGCCATTCTTTTTAATGTACGGCAGGGACCACGACTCCCCAATTGATGTCCAACTGCGTGTCGCGCCGCACAAAGCCAAATACAAATTTTCAGATTCTATGCGCTTCAACATTCAGAAGCTGTCGGAAGTGCGTGAGGCTTCTAGGGTGAATTCTAATTCACGCCAATTGGCTAATGAGCGACTACGGGGTGTCCGTGCTTCCGGCCACGTGTGGATTGCAGGGGACAGAGCCTGGCTCCACTGCCCCCAGGTACCGGGGAGCACGTCGCCAAAATTGGTTAAACCCTGGAGAAGACCTGTCGATGTCGTTCGACCACAGTGCGTTCAAATTCAGTGGGGCCGGCGGTGCTGGTTCGTTCACCCATCGCGCCTCAAGCCCTTCGTTGCTCCGCGTGATTTCATCCCATCTCCACAATGCAGGGGCCGAGTGGGTGACGTGTCCAACGAGCTGAGGTGGGTCCTCAGCGGAGTCGTGTGCTCCCATCCTCAGATGCCGCGTGACTGATGCCCCTACAGTCGTCACCTTCTGCTCCGGATGTGGGGAACTCATCTGCCCACCCGGATTCTCCCCGTGAAGAGCCGGCTTCGCCAGAACACTTGCTGGTTCCCCCCGGGTCCTCCGGGGTGAGTGGGCCCACCTCCCCCGGGGGCCCGGCCACGAGGACTCGATCTAAGACGTTTCGCTTATCATGACCCCGATTCACCCACACTACCACACCGTCAATTGATTGTCGCACTCGGCAGGCCGTCTTGGTCATTGGCTGAACCTGGCCTTTATTGTGCTGATGGGTGTTGATATACAGTGGGGGTAGAAGAGGTTGTTGGTGTGAGGGGTTGTACTGCATTGGTTTTTATCTATCTCGTGTGGTTTTCAGTACTCCCACCCTTTTCCTTGGTTGTTTCTGTACATTTGTAGATAGTATATATATTGTATAGGTGGGCTTGGGTATTTCATTGTTGGGGTTGCTATTGAGGCATATTTGTTGAATTGTTATTGAGGGCTAATTGATTTCTATGGGGGAGTTGGCAGCCGGGACGGCTGTGTGCTATGAAGGGGGGGTGATGTAGTGACATCGTTGGATGTCACTGCATGTCACTGTGTGAAGCCGGCTGGAAGAGGCACGCTACGGGGTTCAAAAGGGGCCATGCTACTCTAGTTGAACCCGGAAGGCACGTGACCGGAATGACCGACCCGGGGACCCCCCAAAAGGGGGGCTGGGGTGATCACGTGCCCAGGTAAGATCCTTCTCGGGGTTTCGAGAAGGTGGGCGTGGCTAAGGGCGGGGCGAGGCCCGCCACACAGGTTATAAGTGGGAGCCCTGGGCGGCACGGTTTGTTATCTGGATGAAGAAACCTACGTCGTCGCCTGGAAGAGGAGCTCCGACTACATGACCCGGACCCGAGCTGGGGTCCGGTCCACAATAGCCCCCCCGTGTATTGAGAGTAGCTAGCCCGGGGGGTCTACCCCCTGAGGTTACCTGGTGAAGGGGCAGTACCCCTTTGTGTTATAGGGTTATCTGTAATAAACGTGTTGCCTCAAAGAGAAGCCTCAGTCTCCATCTGTACCCACTACACTAACATAACAGCATTCCCAGTATTACAAGAACATAAACGAACTTACAGACAATGCTTCTTAAAGTCCCACAATGAACAGATGCACCTGTCTTCACTGATACGCTATTTGTGCCTATATTTTGTACTCTGTAATGGCTGACACCCTGCCTCATGGCTTACAGAATGTTAAATCGTAACTTCCTGGTCATGTGACCAAACTCAACGCCATATCTGGAAATTCCTGTGTACGCACACCCCCATGGCTGCCGTGAGGCAGAACACAATGTCTGCAGCCAGGATCAATCGATGACAATCCTATTACCTGCAGATATTTAACAGATGAGATGCCATGCACCATTAATTCCTCCTGTTTGATAATACTTCTCTTGTCCGTATGCATCTGCGCACATAGTTTTTTTTTTCAGTTAAGCCATAGTTCCCACATACCGCTCGTATCAATGCAGATAAGAGGGGTGGCGACCCACTACTCTGTAGAGTAACATTGGTATAAACGCTTGTTACAATATGAACAGCGCATTTAAAACGCGTACTATTTTATTTACTGTTTACAAAGTGTGTTCACAAATCCACACTGAGAAACACGATGATTGACAGAGGGGTGTAAACTATTTTTTCGATAGTGTATTTATATAGAGGTACTGCAAACCCATTGGTGAAAAACAGCAAAGTTTTTTTTACATTATAATATAATGTTTATGCGAGAGCCGGGGGCTTATGGGACCCCGGGGTCCCGCCATAAGGTTAATATCCCCTTTAATCCACGTGCTCTGCCCAACACAAATCTAAAGCGCTGTCGAAAATTGCAAAATGCATTGGCTACCCCCTTTTCGAATTGTCTAGAATTCATTTAAAAAATACATTTCTGTGCAGAAGCTGACTTGGAACGCGTTTACAAAGGGAAAACGGCGCAGGCCATCTAGAAGCATCGCAGCCAGCTTCCAAAGGCAGTTCGGTAAGAACTGACATGTGTGGGGGGTGAGGCCTCAAAGGTGATACTAAAAAAAGTGATAGCCCTCATTTGCAAGCAGCAGTGCAGGCTCAGCAAGCAGACAACACTGGCAGTCCCAGATTGCAAGGGCTGCAGCAGCCACTGCCAGTCCGGCGCTCGTGCCCATTTGATGTCACATTTATAACACGAGAGCTACAACATCCCATACTCCTGCGATTGATCGAAATGCTTGGTTTGGACCGTACCTCTGCAGAGTCATTAGCACCCACTCTCCAGGCGGTGAAATTTGACTCGCCGCTTGCTCAACTCGCCCAGCGATTCGTCTCCAATTAAACGAAAAAAGTTCGCAATTCCTAACCTGTGTAAATGAATGCCCCACGAGGCTGCTGTGAATGTGAAGCCTGCTACCCACACCATACTTTGCCCATCATTGTAAGGCCATTGCTCCCCCACTGTTCCTTTCACTAATGCACTCATGCCGACGAGGCCAGGCTTAAGCCAATTCTGCCGGCCAAGCTACGTACGCTATGCAGTGCTGCACACAGGGTACATAATCCGATATGACACATGCAGGAATGGAACGCGCAAAGCCCATTTCTTATTAAGCCAACTCAAGACAGCATCTAATGACGGCTCATTTGTTATTTCATGGCTATTCATGCAAATTATCTGCAGAATTCCCATGGTATTAACGCCGACAAGTGTGCATTTCATGAAGCACCATACCAATAATTGTGTAAAGGAGTTCAGCCCGGGTGAGACTTGAACTTCATTTTGATTACGTCTTCTGCAGAGCACGTCACACATCAGAGAATCACCCCCCCCCCCCCCCCGTCTATCCCTACCTTTTATTCCCTTCCCCATCCTTTCTGGAACTTTCCATGACTCTCCACCAATCCCCCTTCATGTCTCCTATAACGGTCTCCCAACCAACCCCTCATTTCCATTTAGCTTTCCCCGATGACCAATCCAATTTGAATGGCTTCCACATTCAAGACCCTACGCCCCGTCCCCTCCCCCGTGACAGCTCCTCGCCATTGAGAGTCGAGCGCACTATTTAAACTCACGGGGAGCCGTTCGACCCGGTGAGTGTGTATCTATATACATGTGTGTAGTAATATTTATTTCCTAATAGGACGCACCTCTCGGCATCCATTACAATTGTATTCACGATGTGCCAACTGCCGTAGCATGGGTGGCATTGTCGCATTGTCGGCATGGCTTCTCGTACAAAAAATGAAATGGTGGGGGGGGGGGCGGGTGCCTGGCCCTATCTCTGTCCAATGTCTCCCCTCCATTCTTTGTAGCCCGGTGCCTGGGTCCCTCCAGCTCAAAGGCCCCAGTGCAGTTCCACCGCCTGCACACTCGATAGCTATGCAACTGATGACCCTGCCGGTGCCAAAAAAGCAACTTATAATTTTTTTTTTTTAAACGACAGCAGCATCAACATTGACAGTGGATGGCGTGCACCCTGGTGCAAGGAATTAAATGGGGCTCCCTGTCCCGATATCCCCCGGCCCACAATTTGTAGCCAGGTGCCCTGGGCCCTCTCCAGCCCTGGTGCAGTCCCATTGCCAGCGACGCTCGTTAGCTATGCTACTGCGATGTCCTCTCTGTGGCTGTCATTACTTTCATTGTTTAGGCTATTGTTGTATATTAAAACTATATTTGTTATTTACTTTTATTTTACCAGGTAAGGCCCAATGAACTATATGGCTCTTTTTTCAGAAGCAACTTGGCAAAATGATAGCCCAATGAAGTGGCTTATCACGTGGAAATTTATAGCATGTGTTCTAAATGTGGAGGATAAAACTAGAGAAAAATCCACGCGACCACAGGGAGAACACGCAAACTCCAAATATACAGCAGGCGTCAGGGTCAACATCGAACCCATGACCTCCTGTATACCAGGCGAGGTAGTTAACATTTCACCACCATGGCGCCCCTGTCTGCGGTTTCCTGCATTATTAGCATGTAGATTCCCCTTGCAAAATGTACACTATGTTAGTGCTATTGCCAGGTTCTAAATAAAGGATGTGTATGATCGATCACCGCTTCATTATTCATTCAATTCTTCATCCTTTGACGTATTTTAAAGAGTAAGCATTGAATGCACCATAGGCTTTCTCTGCATTCCCCACAGGGCCCTGCAAAAGCCACGCGTTTGGCAATTTGCTTTGTTAAACAGCAGTGGGGGTTATTCTGTACTTCAAGGAGTCATTTTGCTCCAAACTCCCCCTCAATAAAGAATCCCCCAGAGAATATTTAGAAAACCTGTGAACACATTCTCAAGGTCATCTAGTTGGGGGCCACATCCCTAATTGTATTATTCAGTCCCAATAACAGATGGAATATATCTCAGCGAGGATCAGTCGAAACACTGCTACTTCTCAAGTACCCTTGGTGAGAAGTCGTGTGTGGTGGTGGTTGTTGCGTGTCAATACTGGATTGTGGAAGTTCCACCCAGTGGTGTAGCGTGGTTGCAAATGGCCCTGGTGCAGAGATCTAAATGTGTGACCCCCCCTGTCCAATTTTCTCCATCTTCTTAGTCCAGCCCGTGGGCCCAGGCGTGGTTGCACATTAAATAGCGCACCACGGTGGCGAGATGTTAACTACCTCGCCTGGTATGCAGGAGGTTGTGGGTTCAATCCCGACCCTGACACCTGCTGCTGTATATTTGGCATTTGCATGTCCGTCTCCCCGTGGTTGCGTGGATTTTTCTCCGGGTCCACGGGTTTTCCCCTCCACATTTAAAAACTTTCTTTTAGAGTATTTGGCTGCTATAAATTTCCACGTGATAAGCAACTTCATTGGGCTATCATTTGTGGCCAGGTCGCTTCTGAAATAGAGCGATATGGCTCAGTGGGCCTTACTTTGGTCAATTAGAAATACTTTAGTTTTATAGTTTAAAGTATACAGGTCCCTTGGGAAAGTGAGCCCCGTGGCCTGGTTAGTACTGGCGTGGCATGGCAAGGCTGCTCTGGCAATCGGGGCCGGGCCTTCTTACCCAGTTCGTAAACCAAGCCGGCTCACTTGCCAGTCGGGTTGCCACCTCCACGGTATAAGAAAAAAACACATGGGATATATCATGGAAAGAGGAGTATCTGTCAATTCCAGATGAGTGGAGAACGACATGTAAATGCATTGTCTTGAGCGCTATATTATTACACAGCTGACAAAAGCCGGGACGTTAATGTCGTGCGAGAACATATTTCCCATGACAGCAGCTGTCTCACAAAGAGGATGATTCTGGGAAAACCAGGACAGGTGGCAACCCTGTTTCCCAGTGGTAATGAGAATCTGTAATTTGCTTAACAGATGACGAACAGGATGTGACAACATGCTGTTTGTATCTAAGGACATACTGGGTCAGTACATATAACAATTGGGTAGAAATACCCAATAGGGTATGGGGGAGAGTGGTGTTCAGGCTCACAACCTCACACTTTCCTGCCCCACAATGCAATATCGTCCTGCGTGTGTTTTTCTTGAAAACTTATAATTGGCTGTGGATTCTGCAAAAAAGCGAGAAATGTTTTAAAATGAATCGGCTTTTGCAGTTTCCACCTTAATCCTATGAGGACTTTTTTTTGCGTGTGTGGGGTTATTTTTAATGACTGCATTGCAGGAAAGCCCCGAAATTGGCACTGCCAAAGGGTCCTGCATTGTATTTTGTCTCTCCCGCTTCACAAAATACGTTACCAGGCTGCCATCGTTGGCTTGATTTCAAATCGACGTTACGTCAGCAATACCGTACTCCCACGATAGAGCAAACATTGCATTACAGCTTCTGCTTCTTGCTGCTTTTTGCTATTAATCGGTCCTATAAACAGGTGTTGGTAGTCACATTGTGCTGGGTGAGGTTGGAGCATGCCATCTGCTGGCCTTTGGCTTCATAAAAAAAAACCTCATCTCTACATCCCATGCATTGATGCCTCTTTTGGGTTAAGAGTGCAGGAGTAGAGCCCAAGCAAATTTGCTTTGAAAAAAAATATTCCTTGACACAATCATACTGATTCAGGAGCCTGCATCTGTGTCCTGAATAGCAACCTACGTGGAGTGGTGCAGCATCGGTATGCGGACGTCGTCAAGATGCTAAACGCAACGCGGGCTTTTAAATGCGTGTCAGCGCGTGGTCTCACAATAGCTGTAAATATTTACTTGCCACCACGTTCGTGTCCCATCAATTAGTGCTGTTCGCCTGTGCAGTCTATTAATAGCCGTGACAGCATTAGCACGTTGTGGTAGATGCCATTGCCTGCCAACAAGAGACATTATGCTCTCGGTCCACTCATTAATAAGCCGCACTCTTCCAAACTTTGCATTTACGTGAACAACCTTAAATGCTTCTATTCTATGTCGTGTGAATCCCAAGAGCAAAGCATAAACGAAACGGGCGGATGTCTGAAGCCCCGTCAGATTTGTGTTGACACTTCCCCGCTGAAGTAAAACGCTCGCCAGATGTTCATTAAAGCTCTGCGACGGCTTGCTAATTGTGAGCAGTGCAGCCCGTCGACAAGCGCAGCGCCGGCTTTCTAACTCCGCGTCCGTTTCCTGTCGCCCCTGCCGCTGCCGACGTGCGCGCAAAAAACCCAGGCGGCTCCTCGCGCGCACGGCACGCAGCGAACCCCGCGGACGAGATGAAGGGCCTGTCGGGCGGGCGATCGCACCACAGCCTCGTCGCCGACGGCTTCGAGCGCCAGCACGACGCCGTGCCCCCGCGCCAGCACTCGTACCCACGGCTCAGCCCGCCGGACCCGCCGTACGAGCGCGCGGGGCCGCCCCCCGCGTTGACGCGGCAGGCCTACTCGCTGGCGCACCACGCCGACCGTCACCCGGCGGGCGAGGCGCCCTACCACCGCTACAGCCTCCGCGGCGCCCCCGCGCAGGCCGAGTGCGCCGAGGCGGCACCCGGCGGCGGCGGCACGTTTCCGCGCTCGCACTACGGCACGCAGTTCGACGGCGTCGACGACTTCCCGCCCGCGCTGGCCGTCGCCACCTACCAGCACCCGCACCAGCACGCGGCGGTGGCGAGCGGGCGGGTGGCGCGCCTGCCCCCGGGGCTGCTGGACCAGCTGGAGCGGCAGCTGCCTCCGGGCCGCGACGGCTTCTGCACGCTCCAGTACCAGCGCGCCAACAGCGAGAGCCCCGGGCGCATCCGCCACCTCGTGCACTCGGTACAGCGGCTCTTCGCAAAGTCGCACTCCATGGAGGCGTCCGCCGCCGCGGGCAAGAGCCTGAGCAAGAGCGACAGCCGCAGCACGGTCGGATTGATGGACGACCAGCAATATCACCACCACCAACTTCTGCAGCAGCAACAGCACTTGCAACTGCAGCAGCAACAACAGCAGCAGCAGCTGCAGCAGCAACTTCAGCAGCAGCTGTACCACCAGGCGACGCTGTCTTCCTCGTCGCTGAAGCAGAGCCGGCGCAGCAAGAGCAGGGAGCGCAAGGAGTCGCGCCTGAAGGGCAGCCTCTCGGGCTGGTGGAGCTCGGACGACAACCTCGACGCGGACAGCGTGTGCAACGCGCCGAGCGTGTCGGGCCGCCGCTGCCGCGAGCGGCCCTCCTTCCACGAGTTCCCGTTGCGGCCCTCCAAGAGCATCGGCGACGTGAAGTGCGCCGCGTGCTCCGGCGGCACCGAGCCCGACGGCGGGCGGACGCTCCGGCGCGGCGCCTGGTCCACGATGACGGTGAGCCAGGCGCGCGACGCCTACCGCGACCCGCTCGCGGCATCCCAGCGGACGCTGCACCGCGCCGACACGCGGCCGGCCTCCTTCGACCGCATGTACCAGTTCCTGCAGGTGAAGGCGGCGTCGCGCGGGCCCTGCGTGCCGCCGCGTAGGTTCGTCGCGGTTGTGCCGTTGCCGCCATCTCTCTGTCGTTGCCGCTCCGTCGTTCTCGCCCCGCTGAGTTTTTGTTGACGTTCGGCGTGGCGGCCGGACGTTCCGCGCCGCGTGCCGGGAGCTTCGTCCGGTTCCCAGCACGCAGAGCGAAACGTCGGACTTCGCGCGAACGCAACAATGCGCATGGTACGATCCTATAACATGCCAGAGAACCCTAAGTGCTTCGTGTCTTTGGGAGCGTGACGTTAGCAAAAAATGTCCCCCGTGGCTCAAGTCAGTCCCCACTGGATTAATGGCAATCGTCGTTTTGTCGGTCTTGTCTTCCGTCGTTATTCATTTTTGTTCACTGAAGATGTTTCCACGGGACTCCGCGTGAACCCACTTGTAATGGAACATCGTGTGCTCCTTGGGGTCACGTGAACAAATTAAAAATCCGTGGATTTATTTCGCAAAGCGTATTTGGATACACTTTAGATGAAATTTTGATGAAATTATTAAACCTGACATCACCAGATTGGGGGGAGTGGGGTTAGCCGTACTTTACTGGTGTACTGTACTGGTGTCACTAATTAACTGCCAGATGCCTCCAAGAAGATTGGCGAAAAGTTCCCAAAGAGGATGTCCTCTACTGTGAACGAACGGAACGCGTAGCTTTCCAAAAAAATGGGTCTCTTCTGAAATGAAACGTGCGTTGTTCCCTTCAAGACGCACCGAAGGCTCCACAACGGAGCGTAAAGGTTGCCGATGGTTCTTTGCGCAGCAGCAGCAGATGGCACGTTTATTTCAATCGTGGTCATTGCAATTGGGGCAAATGTTCCCCCCCCCCCCCCGCCACTTGGTAATAGGTGACAATTTCCTGAAAGTCGTCGGCAGATGGCAGTGTTATTGCGGTGGCTTACGTGAGATCCGAGGCTGTCTCCAAGGGTACCAATGACAAGGCCAGCAGGCAGGCAATTTCTGCACGGCCACTCTCATTACCCAGCACCTTCGCACACAGCGCCTGGGTGATTAGGAATTGCCCATTGTGGTCCTCCCCCTTCAGTGGGCGTACAACTACACTCCGGTATTAAAATGTACACTTGAAAAAATAAAAATGTTTTACACATCCCGTCAATCACACACACAGCCTTCTGAGAGGGCATTATTTCATCAGCACTGGTTCAATGCAAGCAAAATCCTCTGGACCGGTTTTGACAAACGGCGTCTCATCAGCAGCATCAGGCTTGCTTGAACCCAATGCAGGTGAAACTGCCAGACGTGTCTGATTAAGGACCCCTGTCGAGTTAGACCCAATATGATGTAATACGTGATGATTATTACGCAATGCAGTATATTGGTGCATTGCAGATGCCCTACATCATTCACCCTTGGATCACACAATGCAGGTCACCACTGGTAACAGAAAAGTAATTTTACGATTAAAATTTAGACTTCTGCATTTTTGGGGGGATTTGCAGTTTAATAGAAATTTGAAACAAAATCCACCTGCTCCGCAGTGATCAGTAAACTTTACTGACCCAACGTAGTTAAATGTTTTCTATAAGGGCTTTCATGTTTTACCCCCATAAGAGACAACTCTTGTGAACTTCTCAGAAAAAAATCCGTCGTGCACTAACAAGACTTGAATCCATCAAGAAGAGTTAAAGAAAGACTTTAACTCTAAAGAAAGACTTTAACTCTAAATAAAGACTTTAACACTTCCTGATACCAATTGCCAAGCCAGCTCCTTGTGTTTCACTTGTGAGAACCCGACAGCGTGAGCCACGGTTGAGCGGATCATAAATGAAAGCAGGTGAAGCGTGGCTTTTTTTTTGGTCCGACAGGTAAACTGCGAAATTCGACGGATAAGTCCGTTAGTTCTGCGTATTTACGGACAGGTCTCGTTCGCTTCACCCTTGGTTCACGTGCCCGCATCCTATGTACTCGACTGGCCGCATAATGGAATGTGAAGCATATGGCCAAGGATGAATACGACTCTTGTCAACAATGAACATGCTCACTTGAAGTGTAGGTTTTTTACCTAGCCAACACAATGATCCATATTTACTTCCTGGGTTAAGCTACATGGTCGCTCTATGTCAAACGTCACATTAAAAGCACCCAGGCCCAAATGCCGAAGATATACAGTATTCCCTCGTTAGTCACTTAAACGTTTCTAACTAATATATCTTCACAAAAGATGTAAAACATTTCAAAACGGCCTTAAAATGTTAGGTACTCCGGTAACGTTTCACACTCATGTTTCTCACTGAGTCATGGTGGTGAGATGTTAACTACCTCGCATGGTATACAGGAGGTCGTGGGTCGCTTCTGAAAAAAGAGCTATACAGTTCAGTGGACATTACCTGGTAAAATAAAAAAGTGTTTTTAGTTTCAAGTCTTTATTTACGGAAGGGTACTGCCAAGTTTTCGCAGTAGGGGGCACTATGTTGATATTTTTTAATTGAAAAATTTGCGGGTACATTTTCAGCATTGAGATACTTGGCCATTACTAGTTCGTTACATTGTACGATTTTTTTTATCTATGGGAGGAATCCAGAGAAACCTGTTGAAACTCGTGCAAAACAGGGTGAGATCATACACACTCCACGTAGACATTTGCCCGAGTTAGGAATCGATTAGCATGGTTAGCGACGTACGGGGCAAAAGAAGTTCCACGTACATACAGACAATGGTTGCTGCCTAAGCTTGTGTGTCATTATTGTTTGCACTTTTGTATTCCATTGTAAATATCTTGCAAACATTTCTTCCGAAAGTTTTCCAGCTGCAATTCTTAATTATTTTTTTTAGTTCTTCCACATTTCTTGACTTCGAGTGGTACATTTGTATTTTGATTACCTCTTTGACACTATTAATATCTGCTCGCGCCTTGGGTATCCTGTCAGGGCACATATCAGCACAAACAGTCGTCAAGCACGAGGCTCACTCAAAGGGTTGGTGACGACTAAAATGGGCAGTGTTGAGCCGACATCATCTTAAATCTACAAATGATCAGTGACAAAATCAAGAATGAAAAGTATTGAACTGTTTGCAATTCTGTCGCTGTCGCAACTGTTGCCCTATAGTACACTACGCTGTATATTTCCATGGCTACATGACAGAGCACGATGCTTACTTATCATTTTTTAAAGTGTCCTTAAAATATGCCATAATAATTCAGGCTCATTATATCCGATATATTTTGCATCACATCCCAGCCAATAATCTCCACACATTTTAGACTATAATTGACATTTATATTTGCAGGGTGATTCGTGTATAGATGCCCCACTATGGCTATGAGTTTCTGCTCTTAGAAATTGTAACCATGGAAGCAGTGATAGGAAAGTGATAATGAGGCAAATTGCTCCAAGTGACTGAGTGAACGTACGTTGGACTTCTTTCGCACCGTATGTAGCCCACCATGCGAATCGGAGGTGCGCAGGAGAAGGGCAACACACACAAAAAAGAAACGAGCTTTACACCTTTTGTCCCACCGCTAAACAAGGTCGCGCTACGGGGGCTGTCTCCCGCCACGCGCAGGTGCCCAAGGCCGAGTGGGGCTACCCGCTCGTGGGCAGGACCGAGATCCCCTGCCGCAGGATGCGAAGCGGCAGCTACATGAAGGCCATCGGCGACGAGGAGGGCTCCGACTCGGACGCGAGTCCCAGGCAGTCGCCACGCCGCCACTTTCAGGCGAGCTACCGCCGCCCGTCGAGCGATCGCCCGCCCGTCGGCCAGAGCCAGAGGTATCGGCAACTCTCGCCTGAGAGACTGAGAGAGAGCGAGCGTACCACGTCTGGGTCGTTTGAGAGAGCGCACGCATGCGGTTTTCTTTCGCCTCGGAAGATGTCGTACGTTTCGCCCGTGTCGCTTTTTTTCCACCGTATTGCGCCTCCGATTAGCAGAGTTGGCTACGTACGGAGAGTTGGCTACGTACGGTGTGAAAGTCGTACGTGTGTACGACCGGGCCACGCCGGGTGCCGTGCTGGGCCAGCTCCACGCATCACGGGAGGCGCCCGATTGTTTTTATTCTACTACGGGAGCCGAGCCACTAATGTCTCACGTCAAATAATCTAGCCAAAACCAGTTGGTGACACCGCGTTTGAGTTGTTGGCTGACTGACATCACACGCCTTACCTAGTAAAATACAAACAAAAATTTTTAGTTTTAGATAGTTTTACATTTTGCAATTGGTCACGATTAGCAATAAAACTATTCTTAGAGGGGCTCTCCAGAGCTCCCTCTAGTGGAGGCCCTTTGGTCAGCGGGAGTGTGAGCAAGCAGGGCTGCACCTTTACCTTTTAGCAAAAAAAATACATCCCATCAGTGAGATAGTTGCGATCGCGTGTCCGCATACATGACCGGCGAGCGACCAGTGCGAAGAGGCACTGGTATCCACGCATAGAAATCTGCGGTCGCTGTCTGCATTTCCCCAAGCGGGGCCACGCCATCAGACCATAATCCGCTCCAAACGTGGCATGGTTCAGGACCCATTCCCTGATCCAGACAGTTCTCTGCTTGAAGCATCCTCTATTATTTGTTCATTCATCGCGCACGGTCAGCGAAGGACCGTAGCGCCAAACGTGTGACCTCTTGCGATGGCGTTCGCATTTAAACTGCTTCTTGTTGCCATGCACCAGCGTAGCGAGCGATTTGTTTGATCCACGTATCACGGGGGGGGGGGGGGTGGACTATCGGGGGGGATGGTGACCACGGAGATGGCGCCATTCCCTCTGAGGGTCTCAAGTCCACTTCGAACGTCGACCACCGACTGAAGTGCGCAATTTTCTGGAGTTTGCGCATCAAGACGGACGACGTGTTCAAAAAGTGACAGCCGCATCACTCGAACTAAGCGCTCAATCGCTAGGAGACCGGCCGTAGATGCAACCGTGATATTGCTGAAGAAGTCGAACCATTCGGATGCCGTCTTATAAACCATAGCTGACACAGCACACATTATGGGACCCTCCTGACGGTCCTCTATTTTCAGCCTCCTCTCGCTAATTATCCTGACTCGCACCACTCCTTGCCGTAGTTTTGCACTCGATTGCATTAAACGCTGCTGCACAGCATTGCACTTTGGACGATTGCTTGGGATCAATGGGATACACCACAGCGCAATCCGATTGCACCCAAATCGATCCCACGGAAATCGCATCGCGTATCTAGGCTTCCAGAAGTATATTAAGCCATCCTGGGCCCGTTCTTGGTCCAACTTGGTGGGTCGCACACGTTGCGGCATGGATAGCGTGCAGGGAACATTTTAAATGTACGCGGGCCACGTCGGCGCCAAGTTGCGGTGACAATCACACCACTGCACAGCATCAAGTAAATGCCTCACGAACACATAGCACACTGATACATCCACATGAATAGAATGCCTTACTACCGCCGTGTTGACTTGAGGTGTGGACGTGTGACCTCTCTCTCTGTATTATCGTGTGAGTAACCAGGGGCGCGGTGGTGGCGAGATGTTAACTACCTCGCCTGGTATGGAGGAGGTCGTGGGTTCGATCCCGACCTTGATGCATATATATTTGGAGTTTACATGTTCTCCCTGTTGTCGTGTGGATTTTTCTCCGGGTCCTCCGGTTTTTCCCTCCACATTTATAATCAATAAGCATTCAGAGTATTTGGTTGCTATAAGGTTTCACATGATAAGCCACTTTGTTGAGCTATATAGCTCGGTGGGCCTTACCTGGTAAAATAAAAATAGCTTCATAGCAAATAGACATTCGTAGTTTTTGTTTGTGGTTATGGCGCTGGGGTTGAGAGCATGGGGACCAGGTTGAGAACTACCGCTGTCGATCGAGCTGAGCGTCGTTTTTCCTTGCCGCCGTCTCTCAACAGCTACCTGCGTGCGGTGAGCGAGGCCTCGCTGAACCGGAGTCTTGACAGCCTGGATCCCTCCAGCCTCCTCTCTTCACCCAAGCTGGCCCCACGCAGCAGAGGTTACGAAAGAAGCAGGCTGAGTCAGCCGTCGTACCACAGCCAAGTGAGCGCAGGCACCCAACGCAGCCAGAAACGTCAACCGCCGTCGTCGTCATTGTATTATTGTTATCATTACTAACCTGTCGTTCTCATTGGGACATTCGCAGAGATGAGCTGTTAAATGCCACAGGTTAATTACAACTGGGGGCTCGCCGTTTATCACGACCCAGAAAGGTGCACGCCAATTTACGGCAATGTTTTGGGGAATCATATAAAGCTTTTACGAGGCTTACAGTCTGGGGTTTTACAAGCAAGACTGCCTAATGTCGACTGTTTATCGTCTATGCTCATGTCAATTAACATATAGTCCAATTGCAGGGTTCAGGTTATTTTATAATGCACACAGAGAAGCATTAAGAAAGGTGTTTAAGTATCTCAAAGAGCCACCCATTTGGCGTGATGGTTGGTTCATCGATTTTAAAGGTGGTCTTCTCTTAATGAGGCCATTGATTAGTAAGCGTTTGAAATAATAATGAAAGCAGTTCAATACAAATCATCGCAAGACGTAGGCTGATAAGGATCTTATTTAATGAATAGCAGCAGTTTATCAGGGACACACCAAACTGCAATTGCAGTGAGGTGCAAACCATCAGGCTGATGACTGCCCCAATGCGACACGAGTATTCCCGCGGAACAAGTGGAATTACACTCATCTAGCACGGATGCCATGGAACGCCATGCAAAAGAGGAAGAATATCAGCGGTGATGTTATAAACGTAACTCCAATCTTAGTTGTTGTCACGTACCACACTCCACCAAGAAACCTGCCCAGCATGGAAGAGGAAACCTTCCGTGTATTTAGTTTGTTTCCCCCCCGCCCGCTCGCACCTCCGATTAGCGCGGTTGGCTACGTACGGTGCGAAAGAAGTTCAACGTGCACACGTACAAAATACCCTCTCTAGTGGAGGCCCTTTCATCAACACTGACGTGAACAAGTAATCGCGACCTTCACGTTTTACACTAGGCAACAGAAGACCTTTAGATTAATACGTCGGCTTTCGCGACCAATATTATCCATCGAGGTTTTTTGGATTAGATTGCTTGAATATAAATCTGTCGTTAAACCCGTCACCACCCAACAGAGTTGGTAAGGTTACAATTTAAGTACGTTTCGCTGGCAATTGCAACCAGCCTCATCAGGCGACAGCCAGAGTTATGGAGAAATCTTCCTTACCAATTGGTTGTATCGGGTCGTGGCAGGTTTAACGACGCATTTATATTCACGCAATCTATTTTTAAAACACTCTATTACAGACCTTTAAATGTTTTGGGGAGTGACCATTTAAGTACAGAAGTGTCACACAACAGCAGCAGCAGCAGCTGTGAGGCAAGAGCAGCCTCTCGCAAGGACGTGGTGTCACGCGCTCGCTTCGGGACTGAGAAAAGTTAATAAATACAGTCATACCTTTGCCTAACGCTGTTTTATCAGAACACGTGTTTCGGCTATACGCGATTTACTCAACATGTGTTTTCTGGAACCTGGGGTTGACGTTTTGGCTATACACTGGTTACTTGAGGTCTGTTCTCTGGAACAAGGGGGGTGAAGTTTCGGCTGGACGTGGTTTGACGCTGCCAAGATTCTCATCTCGGCGGCAACAAGTCGTGCGCCGTACGCCTGCACGGTTCCAGTAGACGCAGCGCATGGATATCTCATCACTATTGTCCCTCCCCGACACTCTCACGTGGCCTCGCTCCACGCGTCACCAGCCCCATCTAACCCCCCCCACCATTCATCGTTACTGAAATAGATGTTTTCTGTTTCACTTGAATATATTTTTTTAGTGTGTGTGATACCAACCGGGGGAAAAAATAAAAGTTAAACAAAGATGGAGCGGTGATCATTTCGGACCCAGGAACCCAACCCGATTTTTCACATAAGCTCTAATATTTGTCGAACATGGTTTTGTCCAAACATGGCATTTTCCAGGAACGTAACCCCCATCTCTGGCACGTGTCGTGATGGGTACTGCAAGATTCGACCATGTCCATCCAGTGCTCGGCAAACTGCGTTGGCTTCCAGTTGCCGAGCAAATAGAGTGAGGGGAAAAAGTATGTGATCCCCTACTGATTTTGTACGTTTGCCTACTGACAAAGAAATGATCAGTCTATAATTTTTATGGTAGGTTTATTTGAACAGTGAGAGACAGAATAACAACAACAAAATCCAGAAAAACGCATGTCAAAAATGTTATAAATTGATTTGCATTTTAATGAGGGAAATAAGTATTTGACCCCCTCTCAATCAAAAAGATTTCTGGCTCCAGGTGTCTTTTATACAGGTAACGAGCTGAGATTAGAAGCACACTCTTAAAGGGAGTGCTCCTAATCTCAGCTTGTTACCTGTATAAAAGACACCTGTTCACAGAAGAAATCAATCAATCAGATTCATAACTCTCCACCATGGCCAAGACCAAAGAGCTCTCCAAGGATGTCAGGGGCAAAATTGTAGACTTACACAAGGCTGGAATGGGCTACAAGACCATCGCCAAGCAGCTTGGTGAGAAGGTGACGACAGTTGGTGCGATTATTCGCAAATGGAAGAAACACAAAAGAACTGTCGATCTCCCTCGGCCTGGGGCTCCATGCAAGATCTCACCTCGTGGAGTTGCAATGATCATGAGAACGGTGAGGAATCGGCCCAGAACTACACGGGAGGATCTTGTCAATGATCTCAAGGCAGCTGGGACCAGTCACCAAGAAAACAGTTGGTAACACACTACGCCGTGAAGGACTGAAATCCTGAAGCGCCCGCAAGGTCCCCCCTGCTCAAGAAAGCACATATACATGCCTGTCTGAAGTTTGCCAATGAACATCTGAATGATTCAGAGGACAACTGGGTGAAAGTGTTGTGGTCAGATGAGACCAAAATGGAGCTCTTTGGCATCAACTCAACTCGCCGTGTTTGGAGGATGAGGAATGCTGCCTATGACCCCAAGAACACCATCCCCACCGTCAAACATGGAGGTGGAAACATTATGCTTTGGGGGTGTTTTTCTGCTAAGGAGACAGGACAACTTCACCGCATAAAATGGACGATGGACGGGGCCATGTACCGTCAAATTTTGGGCGAGAACCTCCTTCCCTCAGCCAGGGCATTGAAAATGGGTCGTGGATGGGTATTCCAGAATGACAATGACCCAAAACACACGGCCTAGGCAACAAAGGAGTGGCTCAAAAAGAAGCACATTAAGGTCCTGGAGTGGCCTAGCCAGTCTCCAGACCTTAATCCCATAGAAAACTGTGGAGGGAGCTGAAGGTTCAAGTTGCCAAACGTCAGCCTCGAAACCTTAATGACTTGGAGAAGATCTGCAAAGAGGAGTGGGGAAAAATCCCTCCTGAGATGTGTGCAAACCTGGTGGCCAACTACAAGAAACGTCTGACCTCTGTGATTGCCAACAAGGGTTTTGCCACAAAGTACTAAGTCACGTTTTGCAGAGGGGTCAAATACTTATTTCCCTCATTAAAATGCAAATCAATTTATAACATTTTTGACATGCGTTTTTTCTGGATTTTGTTGTTGTTATTCTGTCCCTCACTGTTCAAATAAACCTACCATTAAAATTATAGACTGATCATTTCTTTGTCAGTGGACAAAACTACAAAATCAGCAGGGGATCAAATACTTTTTTCCCTCACTGTACATCATGAGGTCGCACTCATTACACGCAAAGTGCTTGCCACAAATGAATCCCAACACCTCGCTGATCTCGTCAAGGGACATAAACCATCAAACTAACTCCGGCTATCCTCACAGCGAATAGCTCTCAAATAAAGAAGGTCACCGCATTGCGCGCTTTCAGATGCGCTTCTGGAAATCTCTTCCTCTTCCAATATTAGGAAGCTACTGGAGCTATGCACTTTTAAACCGAGATTGAAATCTCATTTCTTTCAAACTGATTTTTGTGTTTATCTTGTTGCCCTTCCCCCGCACGTTCGATTAGTGTGGTAGGCTACGTACAGTTCGAAAGAAGTTCAACAGACAAACATACATACTTTGGGCGAGGTATTACCGAGTTTGAGGGTCACGCGCAAATAGGACTTATGGTGCAATGTCACGATGCTGGCATCTGACACGCCGCATGGCAACCAGGTCCGACGGCACCTCTCCGTCTCGTTCTTGCACGCGCTGCTGGTAGAAAACTGCTCCGTCGCGCGTGTCACAACGAGTGCTCACGTCACGGAGCCCCCGTGCCCTGCCATTTCCATGTCCATGTGCAGCAACTCAGCGTTTTTCCCACTTCACTGTTTGGCGTTTCATTTGGGATTTCAAAAGTTACGAGCTACAACGCTTCGCGCACGGGAGAACATCCTGTTGTCTGACAAGCAGGCAATACATTGAATGTACATGGGTTGAGGAAAAGTCTGGCTTTCTGGGCTTGTGCATTTTCACACTGAAATGGCATTACAGCCTTTCATGTTCCTTTTATACGTGATTTTTTTTTACTTTAATTCCCACATGGCACTGGGTAATTTAATCTTCTGAACGCTTGTAACTGCGAGCGGGAGTCTAATTATATGGCACGTATATAACTCACAGCTCAAGAATGGCATTTGCAGGGACTCTAGCAAGGTTGTTAAAATGTGTTGCTTGCTCATCTTGACAGCATATCAACTGCAAATTACATCCGGAGTTTGATGCTATTTAAAGCACCAGCAGTGTCTGCTCACCATGCACAGGCATTGCAATTATAAAACAAAATTAGTCTGTGTTGATTCATCCAGGAAGGTGGCTTTTTTCGTCAAGCTTACTCATCTTTTTTATTTGCATCTTCAGTCCCATGCGATAAGAACCTAGCTGCTATGGTGCAGCCAAAGCGCACTTCCAAGACACAAAGGATTGGTTCTTTCAAAATATATTCGCCTCCTCTAAAAATTATTCGTCCAAATATTTGGGGCTTACAATCAAAATCTGTAATTAAAAACAACAACAACAAAACTGAGTTGTTGCGATTGCCAGATGTCTCTGGGATCAAAGCACTGAGCCAGCAACTGCTGTGTTTGAAT